CATTCTTTATTGGTCGTTTTGTTATGAGCCTGATATGTATATATGTTTAAGTAAATAGACAGCTTATAGTCTTTAAAAAGTTATTAATTATAAATCTCCATCATATATATTAAGTATGCAATACTGTTTTCAGCTATTGCTTTATTCATACGAAGATGACATCACAAATGATCACAGAACATTGTGGTTTAACAAACTAAACGAAACTAAACTGGTACAGTCACAGTTTATAGCGGAGCTCACTCGCTCGCATTCCTTGATACCACTATACCAGTATTTCTGTATCTAATACTCAAATTTCCCTGAATGTTATTGCTTCTACGAAATATTATTGTACAAGAGATTAAGAATAACGGAGTAGTTGTTTGATTCAATAAAATCGGTGCGGTTTTAAACGCAACTGACCGCAAACAACCAATGTTTGTTTCTTTGCTGTTTTGGGGACGTGTACGTAAGATAAGATTATCGTGGAGGCACCTATCGGAAGCTCCACTTATAGGCAGTGCCTAAATCTATATATTTATTCTCTAGTCATGACACCAAAATTCTTGATCACACAGCAGGTGGTTTTAAAGTGAGTTCTATTTGAAAAATAACACATCTTGTCATTTTTCTTTTTAGGTGAGACATTCTCAGAGGATGAATGACAGTTGTTTGAAGCCGTGGGTTATCATCGAGAAAACAGGCGTCATAGCTGCTGCTCACTGTGATTGCATGGCAGGGCTGGGTGAAGTGTGTAGTCATGTTGGAGCAACATTATATTCTGTTGAATGTGCTGCTCGAATAAGTGCATCCAAGACTGTGACGCAGGAGAAGGCCTACTGGATGCTTCCATCAAGCATAGATAAAGTAAACTACAGCGAAATCTCCCAAATGGAATTGTACATCTGCCAAAACGAATAAACGTCAACTTGACTGTGCGATCAGTGGGTCATGTGTGAAGAAACGGTCAGCCCTGAAACTGCCGGCAGTAGATAAATTAACAGCAGCTGATATGGACAGTTTCAAACCAAGTCTAGCCAGCAATAATTGTAGGTCTGCAATACTGGCGGTGACACCCAAGTACCAGGATAAGTTCATTCCGGCTGTGTTACCAGATGGCCAACTACCAGAACCATTCATTAGCTTAAAAGATTATAGATTTACAAACATGTGCAGTGATGAGTTGAAACGTGAATGTGTAGTGATTTTGGAAAATATGGCAGTTACCGAGGAACAAGCCAGGAATGCAGAGCTCATGACCCGCAATCGGAACAAGGAAAAAGAAGGGCACACCCTGCGAAGGGGGCGAATCACCGCATC